TCATGATTAAAACAGTTTTGTTTCTTGAACTATAGTTCCCATTTGACGTTAATCTCATGATTAAAACAGTTTTATAGTTCCCATTCTTGACGTTAACTGATTAAAACAGTTTTGTTGAACCCCATTCTTTGACGTTAATCTCATGATTAAAACAGTTTGTTTCTGAACTATAGTTCCCATTCTTTGACGTTAATCTCATGATTAAAACAGTTTTGTTTCTTGAACTATATTTCCCATTCTTTGACGTTAACATGATTAAAACAGTTTTGTTTCTTGAACTATATTTCCCATTCTTTGACGTTTAATTCATGATTAAAACAGTTTTGTTTCTTGAACTATATTTCCATTCTTTTGAAGATGATTAAAACAGTTTTGTTTCTTGAACTATAGTTCCCATTCTTTGACGTTAATCTCATGATTAAAACAGTTTTGTTTCTTGAAAATATTTCCCATTCTTTTGACGTTAATTTTGATTAAAACAGTTTTGTTTCTTGAACTATCCCCCATTCTTTGACGTTAATCTCATGATTAAAACAGTTTTGTTTCTTTTATAGTTCCCATTCTTTGACGTTAAATTAAAACAGTTTTTGTTTCTTGAACTATATTTCCCATTCTTTGACGTTAATCTCATGATTAAAACAGTTTGTTTCTTGAACTATTTTGATTAAAACAGTTTTGTTTTTCATTCTTTGACGTTAATCTCATGATTAAAACAGTTTTGTTTCTTGAAATAGTTCCCATTCTTTGACGTTAATCTCATGATTAAAACAGTTTTGTTTCTTGAACTATATTTCCCAATTAAAACAGTTTTGTTTCTTGAACTATAGTTTATTCTTTGACGTTAATCTCCTTGATTAAAACAGTTTTGTTTCTTGAACTATATTTCCCATTCTTTGACGTTAAATGAAAAACAGTTTTGTTTTTGAACTGTATTTCCCATTCTTTGACGTTAATCTCATTTAAAAAGTTTCTTGAATAATCCGATTAAAATTACGTTGTATTTCTATTAAATTGTAATTTTCATAAGATATGAACATATTAACACAGCTCCAAATTCAAACACGTTGACAAAGAATAGAAATGAATAAATAGAAATACACATATATAAAAAGAACAATATGAACGTGTGTATTTTATTAATGTACACCTCATTTTAGTAGACGATCCGTTTTTCTTGATCTATTTTTTTTTTACAAGTACTAGAAAATCTAATCAACTCCGAATTGATTAAGGATTTCACGTCGCAACTTCTTCGTTCACACGAGCATTATGACGATAAGTGGGCTGTAAAATTTGAACAGATGGTGCAAGCCATGGAGAAGGGTGAGATTTTATCTGGCATTTCAAAGAAGCATCGATGCCGGCGTTTATAGAGAAACAGTTGGCAAAACTCTCAATAGGTAGTTTTTAAAAAAATCCGATTCCAATAGTCTTCGGGAATGAAGTCTCGGAATAAATCTCGAAATGTACTCTTAAATAGAAAGAAACCTTGTGAATAGTGTGTTTATTTATAATAGACAAGTCGAAATAAATTTCAAGAGATACCACAGTGTGATCGGAACTGTCAAAACGACAAGGCTACAATGTACGACAAGAGACAACAGATGTTAAGGAACAAATCAAGAAAAAGAAGAATGTCGAAAGAATCATAAGGAAAACGAGGAAATAAATCTACTATTTGAGTGAGAGACTGAGAAAGGGATAAACTGAAAGACTGAATTCCAGTATAACTGTTTGAATGGCCTCGATTCCATCCGCACAATTTTTTTATTACTTTATAAATGTGCTAACAAGGAATAAAAACACAAGAATAACATTCAGCAAGAAAAAACATTTATATTACAATAATATACAATTGTACAAACAGTAATTCAGTGAACTTAGAGATTTAGTTGACAAGTACGTATTTGTTACTTGGAAATGTTCTTTTGACAGGTGAAATTTGTTCATGTGAAGAATGTTCATTTTTCTGTGAAAATCATATGGAATCTGTAATTAATAAATCTGTTTAAATTAATTAACCCTAGGACACTAACCATGGGTATAATATACCCAGCGCAATTTTTTTCTATTTTTAATTACAATTTTCAGTACCTGATTTTACCTAAATAATATTTTTTCAGTTCCTATTAATGTTAACTCAAAGTACAAAGTTTGAAGTGCCTGCATGTAAAATATTTCAAGTAAAGATTTATATTTAATATTTCTTTTTGATATTTTCAAAATCGGGTATGATATACCCATGGTTAGTAGTGGTGTAACTTTAATTGATGGTTAGTGTTCTATGGTTAAACAATTTGTAACATTTTCTATAGTTGATAGTTCGATGTTTAAATATAGCATTTATTTACCATTAACTTTGGATTGCTTAAGGTTTTCAAAGACAAATGTTTTTTTTTTCTGCTGATAAAAATCTCTCTTAAACGGTAATAAGTTTCTGTATTCTTGATGTTGAAGTAGTGAAGGTTCATAAATGTCCGTAGATGTGCATACGTACGTGTGTGCGCGTGTGTTCGTGCGTGTGTTCGTGCGTGTGTTCGTGCAAGTGTTTCATGACGTTTCATGGTGTTTTCTCCTAAACGCGACACAATCTCTCCACAGAGCTACATTGCTGTGGGTCTGAGGAAACCGGAAAGAGAAAGATTCAAGATGCCGCTAAATATTTATAAGTAATGTGAATTACGTGATAGCCTAGCGAACACATAACCAGATTTTGATGGAAAATTGAGTTTGAACGGGTCAACGTGAGGTTAACCATGCGGACGTAGGCGGAAACATGATATCAAAAACCTCAGCTACTGCAAACCTAGCCTGGAAGCAACAAATGTTTAGCTTCTACAAGAACTTTGCACGTGAAAATGCACAAAATACAGTTTAAATATTTATGGTTCAATCAAGACTTTGTTAAATAACAGAATTAAGGAAACTTAGATATGATCCATTGAAATGTAGAAGTTAGGTTCTACACTAGAAACATAAGTAACATTAGAATGATTATTTCTCTTCACAAAGAGGGCATTAATATCACCAAACACAAAGATGTTTGCAGTTGAATATAGAGAGAAATCTACTTTTATACTGTCGGCTATTTTTTCTAACATATTATAATTCTGAGAAGAAGAAGAGTGACAAAGGAAAAGAGACAGCTAACAGAATGCAATAAAAAAAGTCGAAAGGACATGAAAGAATCATCCCGGGATTGAAGAGAAAATATCATTGGCCATTGGACAAAAACATCTGAACATAAACACCAAGGTCATGCATATATACATAATAGAATCTATTCGACAAAGTGGAGGATAACCTGGAACAGAGACTTCATTGGTAGCAATAGAAGTGTGTTAATTCGTTTTTCAAAATGCTAAAACATCTACAGAACATTCCGAGAGAAAAAAAAAGAAACTACACTATAAAAATTGCGACGAATACCACGAATATTGGAGTAAGAAGCGGGAAGTATGGTAAATGATTTATTTGTTTACCGCGTTACTCGTTTTTTTTTAAAATTTAACAATCATGAGACATTTTTAATTGTTTTAAAGAGAAAGATTCGCAAATACTTATCACTGTCCATATCGTCTATGGTATAAGATATACATGCAGAAGCACCTATTCACGCGCATCATGACACTATAGATATCCCGATATTATGCGAATGTTTACCAGGTCAGCCTGTCTAAGCGCTGCCAAGGAGTACGAACTCCTTATTATCAGTCGGGATGGAAAAACCAAAAAACTGCTAACCCAGTACCTTCAAATGAAAATGAGAGGGTAAACTTTACCAAAAAAAAAAAAAAAAAATAGAGGATAAACCTTTTCTGTAAACTGGAAACAAGGTGCTAAACAGGAAACAAAAGTTAAACCTGTTCAGTAAACAAAGAAGGAATCTGGCGATTGGCGAATTCATCTAATTCAATTAAGCACAGATACGTTAGTTAATTTTCACCCACACACACGGATACGCAGCGGTGGATAGATAAATAAATAGATAGATAATGTCTAAGTCTGCTGTTGGTTCCCTGTTTCGTGATAGACAATTTTCCTCGCTAGAATCTTACATATTTTGCTTTGGATATTGCTGCCACATCTGGTCTGGGACACCTGCTATACATTTAGAGATTCTTGATAAAATTCAAAGAAGAATATTCAATGCTATTGGTCCTAACATAGCATCTCGGCTTCAATCACATTCCTACTACCGTAACGTAGTTTCCCTGTGCCTTTTCTATGGGAATTATTCTGATGAACTACCCTCATTGGTAGTTAGACTTTATGAATTTAAATGCAGTACGAGTTTGGCGGCAAGGTCTCATCTTTTTTTCAGTTGAAACCGTAAATTCTAAACTCACGTTTTCTTCTATTGCATTTCTCGCTTCTGCAACACTTTTCCGGTTTATTGTTTCACAGTCAACTTAAATTTTTAAACATTTTAATACAATTTCAATCATTATCTTATGACTTCTTAATTCGTGTTCTTTTATTGTTTGCTTAAATAATGTTTTTTTCTCATATTCTCTAACACTTCCTAACCATTTAATTTTTCCTGGATGTATTGCCTCCCTTCTCTCTCTCTCTCTCTCTCTCTCTCTCTCTCCTATATATATATATATATATATATATATATATATATATTCATATCAGTCTGTTCTCCTCTCTCTCTCTCCTATATATATATATATATATATATATATATATAGAAAGAGAGAGAGAGAGATATAGGAGAGAAGAGAGAGATATGAACAGACTGATATATATATATATATATATATATATATATATATATAGATAGATAGATAGATAGATAGATAGATAGATTGATAGATAGATAGATAGATAGATATAATGTGAAAAGCCTGACAAACACAAATGTACACACACATATACATACACATATATATATGTGTGTGTGTGTGTCAATATATATATATATATATATATATATATATATATATATATATATATATATATATATATATAGATAGATAGATACTGATATATATCTACTGATCAGCCTGAGAAAGATAGATAGATAGATAGATAGATAGATAGATAGATAGATAGATAGATGGTGTATCATTCTTTAACAAGGTTGACACCATTAAGAAATATTTGAATCCCATATAAAAGTAAGTTTCATTTTATAAATGCTATTAAAAGATAGAGAATATTCAGATGAAAATAATTTCCTCTAATTGACTGAAACACGTGTTTCTCTGCTTCATTAATTTTTTAATTAAAAAAAAAATTCATTATGAAAATATTACAGATATTTAAACGCTTAGTAAACTCGCAGTTTAAGATGTACGAACATTTAGGAAGTATGTGTAATGTCATAATGATAATATATATATATATATATATATATATATATATATATATATATATATATATATATATATATATATATGTGTGTGTGTGTGTGTGTGTGTGTGTGAGTGTGTGTATTGTATCGATAACTGAATTAAGGTTTTGAGTAGAAAAATCAGATAATGCTTTTTTTACAGGTGTCTGAATTGAATATAATGCTCATCAGGTATCTTGATCAAAGAAGACGTGATCTTCGGTGACCATAATATGTGCTAGATTCACCTTAAAAGATGTTAAACTATGTTTTGTACTTAGTGTTTCCTTAGAAAGTCAAGAGCGGAGGCTCTCGAGAGTTGACCTACAACGGAAACTCGATGTCTCCAAGTACAGAATCGCACCTCGGACAGTGACAGTGGTTTACCTAGAACTATAGGTGAGCCTACATGTAACTATTGTATGCTCACACAAGACAACAGAATAACGTGTTATATACAACCGCGACCTACTACAGGCGAAATGTAAAGTTATTTCAATACTCACAAATAAATCAGACATTTTGAGAAAGACCCGAAACTACATACAGCTGATTCTGTCGACATTAATTTGATTAAGTCCAGAAGGGAATAATTTTATACAGTTCAGAAGGGAAGGCTTTATTATTTTAGAGAAGAAAATTTGGTTTCGTATTCTCATCAGAATATACTCACCTAAAATTATATGAACACTCAGTTTCCTCCTCTGATATCTTAAAAGATATTTTTCATGGGGAATGAGTTTGACATAATTTAAAGAGGGTAATTGTTTTCAGGATTAAAGTTAGCGTAAAAAAGATAAAAATAAGGAGGCGTGAAAACTTAAATAGAAAAAAAAATAAAAGATTGGTTTAATTTAAATTTAAAACCTTCAAAATAAAAAACATGCTTCCTATATTACAAATAATTATGCAATTTTACGCCGATATACACAATGTCCATTAATGATAATATCACCTTCTTCCTTTGAAGGAAACATATGGTATTGACCGAAAAGTAATTTATACTCAAGATAGATAGATATATAGATAATGAACAAACTGACGTACAGAGATAGATAGATAGATAGATAGATAGATAGATAGATAGATAAATATTTACTTAGAAGACAGAGATAGATGGCTACATAGATAATGAACAGAGTGATATATATATATATATATATATATATATATATATATATATATATATACAGAGAGAGAGAGAGAGGGAGAGATAATGAACAGACTGAGATAGATAGATAAATAGATAGATAATGAACTGAAAGAAATAGATATCTAATGAACAGATAGAATATAGATAGAGATAGAAGAGAAATAATATGCATACTGAGATAGATAATGAACAGACTGACATAGATAGATAGATAGATAGATACTTAGAAAACTAAGATAGATGACTACATAGATAATGAACAGACGCACACACACACAACACACACATATAGATAGATAGATAAATAGATAGATAGATAGATAGATAGATATATAATGAAAAGACTGAGATCGATATATATTGAACATATAGAATATAGATAGAGATAGAAGAGACAGTTAGAGAGATAATGTACATACTGAGATAGATAGCGAACAGACTGACATAGATAGATAGATAGATAGATATTATATATAGAGATAATGAACAGACCGAGTCAGACAGACAGATAGATAGATCGATCGATAGATAGATCGATAGATAATGAACAGACTGAGATCGATATATATATTGAGCACATAGAATACAGATCGTGATAGAAGAGAGAGAGTTAGATAGATAATGTACATACTGGGATAGATAGATAGATAGATAGATAGATAGATAGATAGATAGATGGACAGACTAACGTAGATAGATATAGATAGATAGATAGATGGACAGACTAACGTAGATAGATAGATATATAGATAGATAGCTAGATAGATAGATAGATGGACAGACTAAAGTAGATAGATAGATAGATAGATAGATAGATAGATAGATAGATAGATAGATAGAAGACAATCTAAGAGATAGTGTAGTATCTATTCGCTTCTTTTCTAATGGTCATGGATTTATTGGATGTTTCCTTATGAGAAATATTCGTTGTTCATTGCTACTTAAAATCCGCTTTACTTCTCTCTCTGCCCTTTTGGCTCGGATCAAATTGTAGTATTTGCCTTTGGATGGCCAAACTACATTTTATATCTCAATTGTGTTTCTCTATTGAGAAAGAATGCAGCAAAAAAATTTGGGGTATCTGGTACCAGGTGTGACGGAATATCGATGCCAGAGTAACGTTGGTTGCAGGGACGGGCAACAACCTTTCCAGGAAAATAGATTTCGCGAGTACACTAAACGTTATCGCTCTTTTTAGTATTCATGTCAGTTTCTTTCCTAGCCTTTTGTTTGATGTAAGGTGAAATTTCAGCATCCTGATTATATACTTATTTTCTCTTTTCATTTATCAATACAATAGTTTTAATGCACATAGTGTAAATAATGATAATTTCAGGTCCTAGGAATTCAGACAGAAATTTGGTATTCATTGACCGAGCAGTCAGTACAGTCAGTTGAAATTTATAGAATCTTTCTCTTAAAACATATTTTGAGGAAAATAGGTTTCTCAGGTCCAGTAGCTGTTATCATTTTTCTAGTATTGACGGGGGTTTCCTTCCTAACTTTTTGTTTGAAGTAGTGTGGAATGTCAACATATGTCATTATTTTCTCTTCAAGTTAGATGTTATATCCATTTTAGATGTTACTGCTGCTGGAATTCCTTAAGAGATGTTGTTTCTGTTATTTGGTGCAGGTGCTTCTTTGTGATTATGTAGCGCCAGTGTATAGATTTATTCGTATAGAAATTTGTCGGTAATGTTTCGCTGAAATTTTCCGTCTTACTCACTTTCCGATTTCTCTATTTTAATGAGACACTAAATGACAACGCCTTTTAGCAACGAGCCTGCCATCAACTGAAGAAAGATATTGTTTCGTACTTATTTTACTACTGAAACGGACAGCTGGGGATAGCCGAGACAATCAAGACCATACAATAATCTGAAGCGTCTCACACAATAAATACTGAGTTATTTCTAATTCTATTTCCCTTGTGGTTGGTCACACATGAGATTAGGAAACGTTTTCTTTTGTTATCACCTTCAACAATCCGTAGAAAATCCTTAAGTGCACTTATTTGTCATTGCATGTTTCCCACTTTCCATTTGTTTCGCCAAGATTCTGCTTCAATCCTGTTGTGCGTAGTTTATTTTGAAAGCTAAGGTTTTGTGGTACATCGATACATAACGGCAGCATCATATCGTTGTTTGGAAAAATAGCTTCCAAATTCTTGCAGAACGATGTTGTTAAATGATTCCATAATGACGAAAAGTGCCAAAAACATTACCACCAATGGTCAGAAGCGAATCCTTTGATGGATTTTTATTGGTCATTTTATATACAGTTTATGTATTTTATAGCTCTAATAAATCCTGGCCGTTTGAATAAGCAATTTAAGCTTTGCTGTTAAGCTGGAAACTACTCGCAATGATTCCCCCAGACTTTCAGAAAGTTTTTTTTAAGTGGTTGGGTTCAGCAAATTTTCCAAATCTCCTCGTATATATCTTTGTGGAGATGGCATAAATAATTATATTTTTATTCTTAAAAGCTCAAAATGATTTTTTTCGTGAAGGCTTTTGTCTCCCATGCTGCACTTTACTCCTTCTATACGAGCGAGCTTGTCTCAGGGACTGCGCTGATCCGTCAGGCATTACATTTCCAACACATGTTCTGATGTCTTCATGATGCTTTAATTCCTTTCATGCACGTAAATGAATACAAAGAACTCGACTGCAATTGAAATTCGAGTCTTTGATTTCCAATTCTGTGCCGTTATCTGTTACACCACATGCACACCCACGCTTATAACACGTGCTACTCTCAAGTCTAATTAATGAGCAGATCCAAGCTTGCTTAACTTTAGTTATCGCGCGAGTAGCTGTTTCAAAGTGATATGGCCATACGCCTGGAGGCAAATGACAAGGATGATTGGCATCTAATGAAGTGGGACAACCAATCAATAAAAAATACACCGTACAGCGCACTTCCGGGTGGTTTTGTATTCTCTCATTACGGGTAACTAACATTGTCCTTTGAGCGTGGAAGAAAGGCGCTATATCATCTAGTAAAAAGATCTGTGAGTTCGTGTTTAAAAGAATACGACGTGCGTTTATGGATCCTAACTCTATCCATAGTGTTGTATTATCGGGTGGTCACTCTCTAAAATGACTTGTTCTTGTAGAATTGGCAATGATCAAATTCGAAAACGTATTCTGACATTCTATGTCTACTGGACTAAAATGTATGTATATCTGGCCACACGTATTCGAAGATACCCGTCTACTAGAGCGGCTAGCCAATCCCTATTGCAGATGCTTACTCAGTCGAATTTGTGTTTATGCAACACCCAGAGAGTTCACCTGTGGTTTATATTGCAACTGTGCTTAGCAGACCTTAGTTACAGTTTCTGGGAAATAGCGATTTGAACAACGTCTGCACAATCAAACCCTTGACCTTGTTGAATTGTGACTTCGTGCTAGTACAGCTATCGACGACACCCTCTGGTTCCGTCTAGCAAATTTCCTTCGCAAGGCTTATGTCAACTCGTGGTATGGTTGTCAGGCACTTTCCAAAAGTGTCCCAGGCTAGGATCGACACTTCCAGTCCGATAACATCAGGACGTCCCTTTCCTGACAAATCGACAAGGGGTATATGATGGGAGTGATGGTGGTTCACTACAATATTCGTGGAATGGCTGATCTTAAACGTGAAGGGCAGAGCTAGTTGAAATAAGGAATGCAATTCATCCGAAAACTCTCCATGGAAATAGGGAAAGAGAAACGAGTATCTTGCGACGTCTGGTCCGTTTGAACGTTTTGGAAACTAATTTGTCATCTTTTGGACTCTATCGAGAGCGGGAATGTGAAGACTGGACAGCTCCTGCCCATATATGGCAGTAGTACTCCGTTTACAATAACAGGGAATGGTTGTGACGCTGAGATCTGAAAACGTATTGGGATGGTAAAAGACGAATACCAAAAGTTAAACAGAGAATTACGAGACAGGAGTTTTTCTTAGCTAACAAAAAAACAAACAAAACAACAAAAAAAACAGTATTGAGCTTCTACGTGACATCTGTCCTCCTTTACAGCATCGAATGTTGGACGGTTTCCTCAAAGATGAAGAAGAGACTCGAGGCGACGGAGGTATGATTCTTTAGAAGGTTATTAAGGATATCATGGGCTGAGAGTGTAAGCAGCGATGAAGTTTTGGAGATGATGTAAACAAGGAGGAAGCATATACTTAACATCAGGAAGAGGCAGCTGAAATTTCTGGGACATGTAATGAGAAAGGAGGGCTTGGAGAATCTGATACCTACGGGACGAATTTAGGGAAAGAGAGACAAGGGAAATCAACGCATGACATACCTAGAGGACTTAAGCAAGTGGATGGCAGAACAGGGACTGAAGGAAATAGCAAAGGGACAAAGGATAGGAGGAAGTGGAGAACCATAATCGCCTAGGTCCGGAAAGAACACGGCTCATAAAAAGAAACGAATTTAACCCCTATTCCTTAAATGTATTCCTCAATTACTCGATTAAAAATCATTTGGCTTTCTTAAAATGATCCTTAGAAAATCAGACAGAATTTTCCACTTTCTTTCTCAGAAGTGAACAATTACGTTGAAATTTGAAGACGAGACAATTGCATTTGTTGATAAGCTGAGTAGACAGATAATTAGGACAAAAACGAAAACACTGCTCATCCTTCTTAACTTGCCTCGTATTTCATCCTAGCAAATTACATTTAACATTCTCTTTGGCTCCTAATTAGTTGCGCCTGTTTTTGTTTTAAGTCTTGATAAAATTCTGTTTTACTATTTACCTAATAAAAGAAACATACCAAGAGTAATTTTAAATCAGAGAAAAAGTCAACTTCAAAATCAAACTTGAAACTGAAAGTGAAACTTGATTTTGTAATAAAAACGATTCTCTTTATAGCATCATCAGAAAAATTAATAATTGTTCTGTTCATCCGTAACGGTCGGTACTTTATGAATACTTAGCTAGGGAGATAAATGCTCTATTGTAAATAAACTTTGCTGGACACAGTTTAGTGTGACACATAGAACGTTACATTATAAGTTAGTCTGCTCCATTGGCGAAGAGTAATTAGTAACTATTCAATAGTATACCAATAATGTAGTTGGTACCATTTCTTTTTAGATAAGATCTTGATGCATATGTTAATTGTTCATAATTCTTTATTTTAACTCTTAATGTTTTTAAATTCCTATGGACCTCTATTTCAAGGTCTTAAAATTACATGTCCATCAATATATGCAAAGTAAATGGTGCCTTTAACCCTAGAACTCTAACAATCAATTAAAGTTACACCACTACTAACCATGGGTATATCATAACCGATTTTGAAAATATCAAAAAGAAATATTAAATGTAAATCTTTATTTTAAATAATTTACATGCAAAATATTCAAACTTTGTACTTTGAGTTAACATTAATAGGAACTGAAAAAACATATTATTTAGGTAAGAAAGTCAGGTAGTGAAAATTTTAATTAAAAATAGAAAAATTTGCGCTGGGTACTATATACCCATGGTTAATGTTCTAGAGTTAACAAACATGAAATGAAATGGAAATCAGACACCCACTCCCTGGACGATTAAAACAGATATCTTCCGTAATGTTGTTCATACTATTATTGTCTATGACTAAAGTGCTGGAATTCGGACATCCCAGACGAAGAAAACAGGGAAAGGTAGTTAAATATTTGGCGTCGACACGTTTAAGCAAGGAACTCTAGTGCAAACTACTACCCATCTCTAAAATAATACACAACTATAGATTGAGATTTGTAATTATGAAAGTGCTGGTGTCATGAAGTGGACCTTCCCCCAGTTGTGATTCTATGGCAGCTAATTCATAACAAAAGCATAAAGAGGAATAACTAAATAACTCTACTACTTTTTTAAACCATCATTTTCTTATTTTCCAGAATCTAAGAAAACGAGGGAACATGTTGAACGTGTTTTTAAATATTCATTATATTTCTTTCTGTAAATACAATAGAGGATTAAAAAAATATCAACCATTATTCCATGCTCGTTCAGCTTTTACATAAAATTTTGTAGTTGATAAATAAAAGGCCGCTTTAAGAATCTGGCAAACAACTTATCTATTCGAAAAATAAAACGGATCAAAAATACATAACTACTTTGTCAAATTAGTACTCAACCGTTATGTGAACAGCATCTATATGAGATTTTAATAATGCCAACGAATCAATATAAGATATTAATAAGACCAACCAAACACTAGTACATCCATATAAGATGTTAATAATACTAAGCAAACATTAACACAAAGCAATATTAAATCAAAATGAAACATGCAAATAGAATAGTAAGCCATATCAGGTGTTCATTTTATCGACTGATTATTACTATAAGAAAAATCAAAGTTTAAGCATATTGTAAGGTAAAGGCAGGCTATGCGTAAAATTTACAGTTCAATCACTTTGGTTTAATAAGGAGTTTTAATATATATATATATATATATATATTATCATATATATATATTATTATATTATATATATATTATTATATTATATATATTGTTATATTGTATATATTTTTTTTTCTTCACACCTCTAATTTGATAAGGCGTATAAGTCTTGTGGGGCCGAAATAACTATTCGAATGAGGTAATTTGTGAATTCTATGTAATATATAGACGCGCTTACACATATCATACTCACTCACTCCCTAAGAACCAAATAACACACACACACAAACACTAAACAGAGACACATCCCCTCACCAGGTCCAATAAAACTGTCAAAATGACCAGAGAATTTAGAGCAGCACGGATCCATCCAGCTCTTATCTCAAATAACAACTTAAAAGAGACTGTTTGACCAACACAAGGAATGTTAAAAGATTCATGTTAAAAAGATAAAAAAAAAACAAAAAAAAAACAAATGAAAACTACAGACAAAGGTTCATTTTCTCCAGCAAAACATTCATTTCTGTAGTTTACTGCTAATTAGCAAGCAGACATATTTCTCCTCCCGATGATGGCCATTTTGGACGAAACTAGTCGAGGAATCTAAATGAAATAATAATAAAAAAAACGAAAGAATATTAATCTACAACCCAGTGTATCTAAAGATTTCAATTTTTTAATAATTTTTTAATATTTTTTATTGTTCAAATATATATATATATATATATATATACAAACACACACACACACACACACACACACACACACACACATATATATATATATATATATGATTTAATAAAAAAGAAAGAAGAACTTCTTCGGACACCCAATTACTTCCAACTCTTGTATATCGACTTGAACAGATCATTTGGTTAGACGATGTTATGGACAATAAAGATGGTTTGGACTATAAAGCGCAAAATAAATTTCCCAGGGAAAGAAATGTCGCTAGAACTCTAATTTACACCTACTTTTTTGGGTTTTTTTTACGCACAATGCTTGAGAATCCGATTGGCTGATAATTCCACTTGTTTTCAAATTAACGTCTCACAATCCCCACTAGAATACCTTATAAAATATGATATGTAAGCGATAGCTTTTCGCGTTCTTCTCTTTGGGACTTTTCAGACTCCAATCAATTTAATTTCAAATTGAACACACACTGAGAATATTGAGCATACAA